AATGACTGAATACATAAGCTTAAGCAACAAAACATTGTTTATTTTTTTCAAGGCTATACTTAACAAAGACCAACAGAAAAGTGAAATTGTTGCCATAAAGTGTAGCAATAGCATATTTAGGAATACAGTACATTTCAGAGNTGGTAAATAAATGTATTCATCATAATTATTTTATATATATACAGGACTGTCTCAGAAAATTAGAATATTGTGATAAAGTTCTTTATTTTCTGTAATGCAATTAAAAAAACAAAAATGTCATACATTCTGGATTCATTACAAATCAACTGAAATATTGCATTACAGAAAATAAAGAACTTTATCACAATATTCTAATTTTCTGAGACAGTCCTGTATATATATAAAATAATTATGATGAATACATTTATTTACCACTAAAATACAGCAACACGTCTTTGATTAATTTTGTTTATAACTGGACTATTACAATTATTATTAACTTTGTCTGTACAAATTAGCCTGTCCAGGAAATATGCCCGAAACAACAAAAACTGCGAGCCGGCACGCAAGACGCTCCGCTTCTGAACCGCGCCCGGTAGGGTTTGACGATGGAGGAGGTCGGAACAAAACCGCTGGGCAGGCGGAATCCCGCGGAAAGGCCAAATAATTAAACGCTTTGAAACTTGTGTATTATAATTTCCTGGTGTCTTTAAAGCGTTCGAGAGTAAAGGTTTACCAGAGGATTGACTGTTGATAAATCTCTGGTAAATTACACACACCGTACCAACCTTGGTCTGTCTAGGACAGGGGTCTGCAAACTTTTTGATATGAAGTGGCATTTAAAAAAAAAAATTGTGATCAGTGTGCTGACGCTCGTGAACGGTCAACGGGGGAGGTGGGGTGAAGAGCTCGACGCTCGTGAACTGTCAACAGGAGGGCGGGGGGAGCCTCGCTGTGGACCTCTTTCATCTGTCAGCGCAACTTACATGATGCGGTTTAAACAAATTTAAATAATTGGTTTAAACGGCATGATAATGACGACCGTCCGTCCTGTGATTCTCCAGAACACACAGATGGCCTGTCCGCCCCTGTGTAGCATATTATTTTCGATGAGAGATGAGCGGATCGCCACTGGGCTTTCAACTAAAGAACTAAAGACACAGCCACGCAAAAACTGCGGCATTTGTACAGCTCCTTATGGGTAGCCATGCAATTTGTGAAGTGCGGGAGCGCTCCGGCAGCACTATACTCCTGATCGCAGGAATTCTACAGGAGTTAAAGAGAACAGGGCTGCGTTGCATGCCAGGGTTCCGGCAGGTTTCGCCAATTCAAATTTAAGACTTTTTAAGACCACTTTGAATAGAATTTAAGACCTATTTCACGGCAATAAAGTATGAAGGAAAATTGCTATGAAAGAATAAATACTTCCCATAATTACTTACAAAGTAAATGTATTCATGTTCAACATAAGAACAATGACTGAACATAACAGCATAACAGTACACAGAACTGTGTTAGCGTGTTAGACAAAAAGTGTGTGTGCGTGTGTGTGCGTGCGTGTGCGTGCGTGCGTGTGTGTGTGTGTGTTAGGGCTGTGCAAACACGTTCCCCTCCACTGGTTTCAACCAAGCACTAAATTGGATGTTTTTCAACCAAATACGGTTGAACTGACACTTCCCCATTTAAATTTGTACGTAGATTTTAAGATACATGAGTTTTTGACTGCCGCTAGTTGAAGCTTTGTTGCTAGGTCACTAACTGGGTGTTCTACAATAAGGGGCCGGGGGAAACAAAGTTAGTGATTACTGGTTCCATGTTGATTTAATTCAATACAAATTGTTGGGGGGAACTGAAAGGCTATTACCGCCCTGNTCATCAATTGATCATATTTGGTTTATTAAAATAATTATATTGTGGTCATTGTTAAAACATTTCTGCAATTATTATGAGTATTATTATTTCTATAATGCGCTTTCTGCCGTCATTAGGAGTTAGAAATGTAATGGCTATGTAGTAGATTAGATTAGAACCTTCATTATCATAAACTGCTGGGACATTTCCCTAAAGCCAATACCTTTTATATTGTCTACTCTTCACTTACTTGTCAGCATAGGTCGGCATTGATGTACAGAGCCGACAGAAGACCTTGTTTATATTGGCATCATAATGAGAGGTGCAGCCAGTGACGCGTCCTAAACCAGGAAGTAAGCCGCTGGTTCCCTCGACAAAAAGCAATGGGATTTCTCAAAAGGGTTTTGGAAAATAACTGGAAATAAGGTCTGTGGAAAACAAACCTGTTTGATAAATGCACGTTCTGTTCAGCCGGATAATCTCCACATGTCTACCCTACTTTTATAATGTTCAAATCGTAAATCTAATCGATAGATTATAAAAAGGGTTTTAGGACGCGTCACTGCACCACTAGAAGCCAACTCCATCGATCAAGCTGGCTGAAACTTTCTCTCCCTCTTCTTCTCACGCTCCCTGTCACTCTCCTTTAACTCCTCCGGTAACTTTATTTTATTTGAAGATTGTTTTTTGCCCGGCGCTTGGCCGGTTACCGCTGGTATTAAAAACATTTTGGCGAATGGTTAGGTGGCGCGATAGTCTGTAGTGAAGAAGGAGCGCGCTCCCGCTCACGGAACATGCTCGCGCTGCGCTCCGCAACAAACAGCCGTTTGCTTTTCACCCAACAACGACAACCGACTCACGAAACGCTATTTTGTAGAGTTGATAAATGAAACAATTTAACTAAATTAGTAGTCAAAATACCAATACCACAGGACAATTTTTTTTTTAAAGCAATATTTTTAGTGGGCAAGTGGAAAGTACGTTATGCTGGCCCGGGGTGTCTAAATAGTGTTTCCGGGCCAGCGCGCCATTTATGATGTCGAGCCCTGATGATGCTACTGTCAGGGTTAGTTCAAATGTATCATGAGCGACATATCCTTGTATTCAGTGTTCGACACAGCTTCTACGTCTCAGAGTTGCTGTTTTGTACCAGATCTGCCAAACTCTGACATAGGATTTGTCGGCTACAAAACAATATTCTCTTTTGTTTGTCTTATGGAATGAAAACACTTTTTTTTTTTATGTGTCTTCAGAAGAAAGTCAAGATATTGCTGACTCTTGTAGTACGGGAAGTCTAATCCTATTACGAATGTCTTTCACTACCATTACTCAGCGCAGTGTTTTTGGGTTGATCTATCAGTTTATTTTAATGCAACATTCTGCAATAAAAATAGCAATTGTGACTTATTACATCGTGCTTTGCGTGTCTGCTGGTGCCACACTCAACTCTTTCCTTCACAGATAAGCATTAATAGGAAATAAATAAGTTTGTTTTGGTATTTGCTGTTAACAGCAGTGACCTTGTGTTTTCTCTTTTTCTATGCTTGGTGCTTTTGCCTCCTCTGTTCTTCGTAGTGTCGACCTGGAAGAGAACAACAAATTAAATGTGTGTTCGACAAGACCAGAGTGGACAACTTGAGCCAGGACCAACCGGATGAAGGATTTGACCCGTCCAAGAAGCCGCAGCCCTGTCCCATTCATTAACCCCTTCCTTTTTGTTTTCTAACTTTTCAGCTTTGCATTGGTATCGGAGCGTTGTGCCCCCTCTCCTGCTGCAGGGCCCCTAACTGGCCCCCTACTCGGAGGCCTCCCAGGGTGCGCGCTCCTGCTGCTGGCTCAACTGAAAGCCCAGCTAGCACTGACGCAGATAAACAACGCTTTCACCGTCCGCAGCCGACCGTCGAACTTGACAACCAATTCAAACACCCTTTCTCCCTTTATACCCACAACAGCCCCCTCCCCAACTGCAGCGGCGATCAACCTCCTCAACCTTCTGAAGATCACAAACGCCATGTCCCATCCAATGTACAACCCCTATGCCCATGGGAACCAAAGTTCCTCCCAGGGGCAGTATGGACTCCCTAACATCCCGACAGAGAGGGACCCTCGGAGGGTAGCCTCCCACCTTCTTCCTGGGTCTGGCTTCGGCCCTGCTGGAGCTTCTCCTGCGGCTCCTGCCAAATCTGGGGCGATGCTCCCATCACTGCTGTCCCCATCACTGCTGCTCCCATCACTGCTGTCCCCATCACTGCTGCCCCCAAAGATGAGCTACAGGCCTGACCAGGGTCGGGCCAACATAGATGAGAACATAGAGAGGTCCATAGACATGCAAATTAGCAGGGCCAGAGAGGAGGTGAGGCTTCTTAACCAACCAACACATCCGCCCATAGACCAGGGCCCTCGCTATACCAGTCCTCCAAGCGAGGGGTTTCTCTCCTCACAAGGCACAGGGAGGTCCTCCTACCCAATGCCCTCCAGCTCTGCCTCTGTAGGACAAAGACAATCAGGAGCTGAAAGTGGCAGTAGCTCAATGGACTGGTCATCACTCTTCAAAAGGCCCCCTTCTGAAGATTACAATACATTTTATCCACCACCTGCTTCGTCCAACTATGCCAGCGCTGATAATGGTAGGTTTAATGCCTCCAGTGAAAGAGAACGTGACAGGCAGTCCATTCCAGGCTTAGGTGATGGTTTTGACTACCCGCGGCCAGATAAACCTGCTCCTGCGCCTACAGAGTCCAGTCGACCCAAGTACACCTCTGAATCTGCGTCCAACATCCTTGTGCACTTTGGACTTCAGAAAGAGGACTTGGAACATCTCATCTCCTACCCCGAAGACCAGATCACCCCCGCTAACCTGCCGTTCATCTTGAGGCAAATCCGCATTGAGAAGACCAAGAGAGCCACGGATGACTCTCAGGCAAAACCCCAACCCCCCAGAACTGTGAGTGGACTGGACAGTCAACATTTGAGCAGTTCTGGAGGGCCAAGGATGCGGCTGGAGGAAATATCATCAGCTGTTAACCAGCTAAGTAAAGTGATAGACTATGGACATACTGGCAAATATACAGGAGGTGTTGGAGATGAGATTGGGAGAGCCAGTGGTGGTAGTGGAAGTCTGATGCAAATGGACACTTACGATAGTAGCAGACGCAGTCGAGAACTACTGCAAACAAGCTCAGCGGAGGTGAAAAGCAGTGCTTTGGGTTCTTCACGAGACCAGACGAGCTCTATTTCCAGTCTCAGTTCTTCATACGGTTCACGACTGAGCTCTGGGGCTCCCCAAATCCATGATCAGACTAAACGATTGCAGAACCCACCAAATCAGACTCCCCAATCCCTCCTTGGCTCTTTCTCTCTGCCGAAGAAAGACACAGACATCCGGCTTCTCAAGTCTGAGCCCCCTAAACACGGCACTTTGAAAGAACTGCCTGCAGATCGGCAGCCGACGTCCAAAACCCAACCACCTGTTTCTCAGTACCACGGTGTGCACCCCAGCAGACCTGGCCTGGTGCTCATTGGCAGTAATCAGGCCAGTGGCACCAAGGTTCAGGGTAAAACTCAAGGACAAGGGTCTACAGTTCCGGAGCAGATGAAAAAGCAGCAGCAACCAGTTCAACGGCAGCAGATGCAGAATCAGCCGAGGCAGCATCAGGTTCAGCAGCAGCACCAGCAGCAGCATCTAATACCGCTGATAGGACAATCTCTGTGGCCACCAGGTTATTCTATGACTGGTGTCATGCAGCATCCTGGTGGTCTGTTCCCCGCCGGTGCTCCTCCAGCTGCAACACAGCAGATCCCGGGCCTGATGAACCTCCCTCCTCCGCCGGTGCCAGCATCCAAGACGCAGACTCAAGCAATTCAACAGGTCCCCATAAGTGTGCTGACTGTTGCCATGATGCATGACTATGCGGCGGCCTCGCCGAGAATCTTTCCACATACCTGTTCTCTGTGTAACAAAGAATGTACTCGTATGAAGGTGAGTGGAAGTCTGCACCCTGTTCACTTATGGAAGTTGTGGGTTTGTTTTCAATTTGTCATCAATTTAAATGCTATGTTTTTTATGTCTTTGGGAGTTGGAAAAAGGTTGAAAAATGTGAAAGGGGATCCATTCAAAGTCTTTATGTAAAACATTTTCTGAATTTACCAACAATAACTCAGAAATGCTGGTAAAAACACTGTCACCACGTATAACCTTTGTACCACTTTTTTTTGTGTGTGTGCGCAAAAAACAAAGTTACAAACTTATTATTATTATTTTTTATGACAATCATTGGTATGTAGTAGCAATTGTCAGATTTACACTAACTTTTTAATGTTGCATTGTTTGATGAAATGAGATGCGACCAATGTTTGAGACGGTTTTTGAACAAGGGACCAAGAAGACGTGCGAAGATGGCTGTCGTTCCCTTTTTATCTTTTTTCTGCCAACATTTGTATTTTCATTTCTACATTTTTTTTTAAAAAGTAGATAGTGACAATTTCTATATTTTATTCCTAATATTGGAGCTCTCGGTAAAACATTGTTTTGTCCAACATTAAGTATCAATCTTTTGTTGTAATACTGATACTACTATTTGAAGCTTAGCCCCTCTTTTGCCCCAAAAAAGTGCCCAAAAGGAATTCCAATTGCGAATACATCCACCCCAAAGCATCTTCATGAATCACGCAATCATTTAGCTATCCACCCCTTTTTGCAATTCACATTTTGTCTAATAAAAAAAAAAAAGATGCACCGGCCCACCCCTTTCCACTTCTTCCCGTCTGGGTGATTTCTGCTGAGATTACCTTCTACAAACATCAGGAAATCTTCTAAAACCCCAGAGGACAGAAGAACCAGACTGTGATCGTACCATCAAGAACCCAAGAAGGAGAAATTGTTATGTTTGTTACTGGCACCCCTGTATGTGTTTATATTTCAGGCTAAAGAATTGCTGACTTTTTTTTTTTTAAAGGAAATTGTTGCCAAAGTAGGATTTCATGTCCCTTATTTTGTACATAAGATAACATTTGTTTTGGCTTATATCAAAGCCACCATTTTAACACTTACATCTTTATATACTGTTGGCTAATGTATCAGCGTCTCTTGGGCTCCCGATTGTTCCTGTAATCTGAAAGACTGCTGTTGGCTGAAGGTTTAAAGAAACCATATTTATTTGTTTATTTTTTATTTTTTTACATTAACACTTATCAACAATAACTGATTTCTACACAAGTGGGGAGAAATGGAAATGGACATTTGAAATTGACACTCGACAGAACAACGTGTTCCTGTTACCTCTTTAAGGCTCCTGATGTCTAATAAAGGATATCTGTTTTCAGACATCACAAAAAGGACAGTTCAGATGTAAGAGCCGATAACAGATGTGTCGATAATGAGTTTTATCTAAATGCTGTGCTTGTCGTTCTAATAGGATTGGATCTCACACCAGAACACCGCCCTTCACCTTGAGAACTGCAGACTCCTCCGAACACAGTCAGTCTTTTTTTTTTTTCTACGTCCATTTCTGACGACTGTATCCCAGACTACACTGGGAAGCATCATTTCAGTTATATTTACAGCAACTGTGGATTCTATTTACTTAAATAAGTGTCTTGACTAACAAGATTAAATAATAAAACATATTTGCTTTCTAACCTAAGCCTCTTTTGATCTGTTTTTAATATGCATGTCTGTTTTTTCTTTCTTCACAGACACCCACTGTGGGATGGTGAGATAGGGTTCAAATCCAGGTACTGTGAGATTTTATTTTTCTTGTGCATACACATTTGGATGAGATCCTTCACTGAGCTTTTTCTCGTCCATTGCCCCCTTAAGTGCTGCAGATAAAGATACCAAGCCCTCGCCCAAAACCTCTTCCCAGTCTTACCAGCAGCGTCAGAACACCAGACGTGGAAGCCGCTCTCGTTCTTATTCCCATTCCCCAAGCCCCCGTTGCCATGGCTCGGAGGGTAAAAGGGAAAAACGCAGGAGTTCATCGCGCTCGCCGCAAAGCTCCAGACACAATCGCAGGTGTGTGATGCATACATTCTTATTAGACCAATAACAGTACATTGCCATTACAAAATATGTTGCTCTAGAACACATGTGTCAAACTCAAGGCCCGGGGGCCAAATCAGGCCCGTGGTGGATTTAATTTCGGCCCGCAGGATAATTTCTCATTACTATTAGATCTGGCCTGCCGGTATATTGCACGCACACCTTCACTCCATCCTGAGGGTTTCCTCAGCTCAGAGCCTGAGCCCAAACATTGATGAACTTGCACCAAAGATGAGATGCCAAGTATCTGGCTTGACCTAGCATCACAGAGCAGCAAACTGAGTTTCAATGGATGTTTCCTTCTGCACTTTGTTTCTTGAGACAACAGGGCATGTTTGGTTTTTTCTTTGAGGGAAATAGTTTTGTTGAAGCTGTTGTTGGCCTGTGGGAAAATGTAATCCTAAGAAATGAATCCGGAAAAGCTGCAGATAGAGCCATAAGAAATGAATGCAACTGATTATTTAATGTTTAATGTTGTTTTTATAGGCAATAATTTAAGCTTTGTTAGTTCCAGGTTTAATATGTGCAATAAGTTAACTTCAATACGTTTTGCAATAAACATTGAACCTGTCCGGCCCTCGACTAGTACCCATTTATTTTATTTTGGCCCACTGAGTGTTTGAGTTTGACACCCCTGCTCTAGAAGATTATCTGCATCAGCATTAGCATTTAGCTCCCCTGGAGAAACCAAAGCTTGAAATGTTAACTATGATTCTGGATTATCATAATATTTCATCTGTACTTTCATCAGGTCCCGGTCTCGTTCATTTTCTTCTCGGTATAACTCCTCCCGCTATCGATCACGATCAAGGAGCTCTGAGAGAAAATGGTCGCCAAGGAGAGACAACCAAAGGACCTCACCAAGGAGGAGAGACGACAGACGATTATCCCCAATGACTAGCCACGAGAGATGGTCATCTCCGAGCAATAGCCGCGAGAGACGATCACCTCTGAGGAGAAATGACGAGAGACGATCGCCACCAAGGAGGAATCGGCAAAAGAGGGAAAGCAGTGCAGAAAACCTGGCTAAGAAACTCCTGGGAGCAACAGGTTTGAGAAATTCACAACATTTGAAAGACTTGTAGCCCAGGTTTAAAGATGTATTGTGTGTCGATTGTACCCTTGAATCTCAGAGGCAATAAGTAAACACAAAACAAGAGGACCGAGTACTAATCCCTGTGGAACACCATATTTGGCATTTTATTGTATGCAACGTAAGAGAGTACCATTTGAGGCCGAAACACAACAATCTTCCCTGACACTCTTTTTGTTTCCCTCTCTTTAGCTGCGCAGTCTTTGGCGGACCCTTCTGACCTGGAGGCCGTGGTTAAATCTCTGGCTCCTGCCTTACTGGCCGAGCTAGCCAAGCTGAAGTCTTCAAATGCATCTTCCTCCTCCTCCACCTCTGCAACAGCAGGAAAGCCTAGGACTAAAAAGCCCTCTCAGGTAAATCTGAAGAACATGGCAAGTCATAGGTGTGCAACCCCTGGCACGCGTGCCACCACACCGCCAGAGCTCGTCTCCCCGTTACCTGCAGAAGGAAGCTAGGGTTCCCGTGGGGTCTTAAAAAGGCATACATTTGATAATCTGAATTTAAGGCATAAAAAGGTCTTAAATATGACCAAAAAAAATAAGAAAGGTCTTAATTATGATTTAGAAGGTCTTAAAAATGATCAGTTTTGAAAGGTACTTCTGTGTTGCGATAGCGTCTAAATGTGTTTTGGGGGAAATGTCCGGGCTGCAAAGTAACCAGGGCGGTAATAGCCTTTCAGTTCCCCCCAACAATTTGTATTGAATTAAATCAACATGGAACCAGTNTTCTCATGCTCCCTGTCACTCTCCTTTAACTCCTCTGGTAACTTTATTTTATTTGAAGAATGTTTTTTGACCGGCGCTTGGCTGGTTACCGCTGGTATTTAATACCAGCGGTAACCAGCCAAGCGCCGGTCAAAAAACATTCTTCAAATAAAATAAAGTTACCAGAGGAGTTAAAGGAGAGTGACAGGGAGCATGAGAAGAAGAGGGAGAGAAAGTTTCAGCCAGCTTTTTTTTGGACGAATGCTCCGGGCCAGTGGTTACAATGGTGGGGCCAGTGATAATACAATTCCACCGGCCCAGAGGGCCAGTGACATTTTACCCTTAATGTCTATCCCTGATCATGATTACCCAGGCCTAGATGAAGGCAACATTCAGACTGACTTTAGTTCTGCTTGATGTTGGTTGTGATTTAGCAGGGGTGATGGTGTAGAAGAAAATCCAGGAGACACAACACCAGCCATTTTCTCAGTCAAGGGTTGGGTTGGACAGGTGTACAAATCTTCAAACTGGTATGATTTGAACCCAAACACCAGACTGCTGTTGAAGGCTACTTTTGGCAGGCTAATACATGTGGCTAAAATGCCAGAATGTGTCATTATAACAAATGCCAGTTTGCATTAAATCAAACTGGTTAAGTTTGCAAACAAGTCCATACCGGTAAATCTCTAAATCAACCCAACTTTACTATCAACAACAACATTTGATCTACCTGTACATTACATTTGACCATAGTTTGTCAGTGTGAGAATGCCCTTTTCCACTCAAAATAGCCAAATATAAGTCAATGCAAGTTGAGACACCATACAACACATCTTCAAATTACACTAGATTGAATTTAGATAACGCTTTTATTCAAAGCAGGTTTACAGATGGCAGAACACACACACAGTTGTGATCACACACTGCAACCTGCACATATGGGCTGCACAGAGGAGGAAGAAGTACTCAGATCTTGTACTTTACTTAAAATGGTATTAAAATGAAGTACTTGAGTAAATGTACTTGTGTACGCCTCTGATGGTGACGCAGCCGTTTGATATAAAATACAGGCCTGAGCACGACCGTTGGAGACGTTAAGACCGTCCAAATCTAATTTTAACACACAGAAAACACAACAAAACATCTGACATTTTGTTTAAAAGTTATGTTTACTTCCTCGCGTTTATTATGGTCTTATCGCAAGTCAAAAAATACAGATAAAATGGCTAAACTAGTCCGGCGTGCTGCTGCTAGCCTAAAGCTAACAGCACGGCCCGGTTCATAACAACCGTTAAAGACGGTTTTTAAATGTACATGGTTAATAATCGAGTTTATTAAGCATTGTTTCGCTCCGGATTTTATTATAATATCGTGGTTTGTTTCATACCTTCCGTTATTTGTGTATTTCTTGCGTCGCTGATGTGTGAAAACTCATCTTCGAGCTGTTAGTTAGCAGGCAGGAAATTCTATCAAGACGACTTCCTGTTTCTTCTTCTTCTTCTTTTTAATGGCGAATCGCTTCCACTTGGAGCATATATCGCCACCTACTGTTGAGTCATTACATGTTCATATTAGATCCTTGTCCTTAGACCAGTGCTTTTGAGGAATTTGAAGATCAGCTTGTTTGCTTCATTTCTTGATTTACTTTCGTATATTGACTTGAAATCCATGTCCTTGACGTTGAGTTGTTCCAGTGCAGTTTTCAGAATGAATCTTTGTCTGTTATAATCCGGGCAGCTAAAAAATACATGATGTAGGCCTATTGTCTCTGGTTGTTGGCAACCATCACAATTGCCATTTGGATGTTTTCCAATCAGATGAGTTTAATCCAGAATGTCCCAATTTTATCCTGCTGTTAATGCTCTGTTCTCTTCTACTACTCCCCCAAGTGCTTCCTGTTCCTACTTCCCTTTGTATCTGGTATAGATGTCTTCCTTTGGTGTTACTGTCCCATTTTGCCATTGTTGCTTGATAACCACTTTTGTAAAAGATTTGACTTCTGCTCTACTGATGGGTACCATAATATCAATCTGGTTTGCTTTCAAACCACATTTTGCCAGTTGATCCACTACTTAATTCCCT